TGCAGAGCCAGGAGTGACCCCTGTGCATCTCTGGGTGTGACCAAAAAAGAAAAAAAATTTAAAGATGAGCCAGAAAGCCAAAAACACGTGTTTAAAAGAATTAAAGATACACCAGAATGCCAGAAAGTGCTAAGAGCCAGAAATGAATAGTATGGTCTTTGTTAACTAGAACAAATTCTAACTATTCTAATTTTATCTAGTTTTATCTAAATCATTTTCTACCCTAGAATTAAATGTCATTGAAATAAATGTATTAATATATTAATTATAAATTAATAAGTACTATATATACTAAATGTATACTATTGCTTCTCTGATATACTGTATGATTATAATTTGTAATTACATTCATTACATTTGTTTTATTAAAAGTATGTAAATATTTGCCTGAGTCACCATCCTGTGGTGATGCGAGTTCCCTGGTGTGTTTGGGGCCAATGGCAGTCACCCCCGGTGATGGATGAAGGAACAAGTCCATAGGCCGTTAACCAATGGCCACATAATTCAAATCAATAAGGGTTGTTATAGAGAAATCGTGATGGGTTGGGGGGACAACGATTACACGTAGGTGTTGTTGAACATTAGCGTAAATATGAACAGATGTAACGTGCTTCCTTCAAAGGATATTTTTCTAGGAGGTCCACCTATAGACAACACTACATCTAGGGAGTCCAGCACTCTGGATTCCTTCAAAGGAGATTCCACCCAGGGGCAGAATTCCATCTAGGAACATGTTACTTTCTACTTTCCTTTACTGGTAATCCATTTAAACAAACATATTAAATTTATTTCTTAATTTTTCTAGTCATTTTGTATGAACATAGTAAGAGATATAGATTTTAACAATACCCTAAATTTAGCTTCAGTGGTTTCTCTGGACTCATGGTAAAGAGTGGCTTTTCCCAGGACATCTTGCTATATTTCCCAAACTACAGTCATCATGTTAGTTTTTCCTAATCTCAATAGAGTGCTTTTTCTGTTACTTATTTTTGGATCATGACAGAGATTTTCCTGAAGAATGTCTAGAAGTAAATATTTTTTCAGAGTCAATTAACTCCCATATTACAAAAGCATAGCATTAACTTTCTTCTACAAAAAGTACATTGCTCTGAAATAAAAATATGGAAAGAGCATAAAGGAAAAAGAAAAGCAATATTTCCACCACTTACATATACAAAATCCAGAGTTTGACTTTATAAGTTATCGTGTCTTATTTGGAGGTCGTTGTGACTAACAGGGGAAAATAACACAGCGGAGGGGTGAAGGAAAAGCATAGAGGTTTGGAAGTGCCCAGGTGGAGTGTGGTGTGCCCTGAGGAGCACTGCAGTGCATGGCACTACAATAGCACAAGCTCTCTGCTGGGAGAGAAGAGACAACCCATTGTTTAGCCTAAAGTGCTTGGAACTGCAATCTAGACCTATGCAGCATTCAATATCTACAGTTACATATATCATAGTTTCAAATTTTTACGTATCTTATCACTGTCATCCCACTGTTCATGGATTTACTTGATAGGGTGCCAGTAATGTCCTGGCCCTGAGATTTTACTCATCTCTCCCAAAGCTGCCATCTTGGAGGCTCTTTCGGGGTCAGGGGGATGAGACCCATTATTGTTACTGTTTTTTTGGCTTATCAAATATGCCACAGGGAGTTTGCCAGGCCCTGCCACGTGGGCAGGGTACTCTCAAAATTTTATATGTAGTAAAAATACTGAAATATAATTCCAGAATTTTTAACTTTTTAAAATTTGTTTTTGGAGCACACAAAGCCATGCTCAAGGATTTACTTGTTGTGGGGCTTGGGCTACAACATAGGATGAGTGGGATAGAAGCAGAGCCAGTTGGCCTCATACAAGGCATGCACTCTACCTACTGGACTATCCTTTTAGTCTCAGTCTGTAATTTTATTTAGAGAAAATACTTTTCTGTTTCTACGAGTCTTTTTGCTTTAGAAGTTAATAAGTGACCTGTGACTCTTAGACTCAAGTTTTAGTTCTCAACTCTCTGGGGTTATTTTTTTCTTTGTTCTTTTTTTAAATTTTTATTAGTGAAACACCATGAGATACAGTTGTAGACTTACAAATGTCTGTGCTTGGGTTTCAGTTATACAATGATCAAGTACCCATCCCTCCAACAGTGCCCATTCTCCACCACCAATGATCCCAGTATCCCTCCCATCCACCCCCAAGCCCTCCATCCCACCCCGCTTCTGTGGCAGGGCATTCCCTTTGTTCTCTCTCCTTTTGGGTGCTGTGGTTTTCAAAAGAGGCATTGAGTGGCAATCATGTTCGGTATATAGTCTACTTTCAGCATGCATCTCCCATCCTGGGAGAATCCTCCCAATATTCTTTATTTGGTGCTCCCTTCTCTATCTGAGCTGCCTTTTCCCCTAGCATGTGCAGCAACTCTCTGGGATTAAAAAGAAGAGGCTAAAAAAAACAACTATAATGTTTGTCAAAAAAGAATAAGTGCATTTGAATTGTGCATTTGTATGAAATTTAGAGTACTTTCTTAATTTTGTAAGACTGTTTCTGAATGGAGTTATTTGAATATTAAAATATGAATCAGCCTCCCATACTCAAAGTTTTAGCACTGAGAAGATATAGCTCTTAACCTATATATTTTATTTGTGTCAAAAATGTTTATGCTATAATATTTTAATAATCGTCAGATTTCATAATTTTGTTAAAACAGCTAAATTATAAGCAAGAAACTGTAGCATCTTTGACCCTAAACTACCACATACAGTAAGGGGTAATCTGCATCCCACTGCTCAAAATTAAGTTGACAGTTAGCAATGGAATAAAATCTTTAATTCCTGAATATATATGTAAATATATATATTATAAGCAGTTATAACATCTAAGGGTCTCTGAGGCCGGGTGTAGGCTGTATTTTTGAAAAGATATTTGCAAATAAACCTATCTGCAATGATATTTTTAGCTCTCTACAGGAGAAGGCCAATCTTAACTTTTCTATTGGAAAGGCAAATATGTCTGCATACTTTTTCTTCCTAACTGAACTTTCCCAGTTTTTTTCTAATATCCTCTCTCAGAATTTTACAAAATTATCGCCTCTAAAAACAGCTAGAAAGTTTTTTCTCTGTGTATTTAATGGATACAGGAAGACATTGCTTGCTAAGGAACTATGTACTAAATTATTACATACTAAGAAAATGTATTATTTTTATTTTGATGATCCAATTATTTAAGCAACATCTGAATAATAATACAACAGAATTTAGGGTGATTTTCTTATTTCTTTACAATTTTTTTCTTATATACACTAGTAATCAAGATACTGGTCTCTGACTTAGGCTTCATGCGTAATTGCACCTGTAACAATTGACATTTTTAAAAAGCAGGAGTTATAAGGAAGAGATGTTCCTGAGGTTTTAATCAAAGAAAGCAGTCATGCATTTCAGGGGTCAAACTTGGCAGCAATTTTAGTAAAACTCCCAGAATGTAAAGTGGCAGTACCAGAAAGGTTATTTATATTAATAACCATGTATATTTACATGGTGGTATTTATGAAACCAAAAATTGGTATAATTTTTAATATTCCTCTTGGCTAGAAAGTTTTTAAACTTGATTTTGAACATGTGTAAGTATTGGAACTAGAAAGATAGTACAATGCATAAGGCACTTGCTTTGCAAGTGGTTATCCAGGTTGGATCCCTGGTATCCCAGCAGCAGGAAAGGAGTGATTTCTGAGTGCATAGCAAGAGTAAGCCCTGAGCCCTGCCAAATGTGGCCCCAAAAAACCAAAAAGAAATGGTATGCGAGACATGGCTTTTTTGTTTAGTTTTTAATCAAATTTCTTTTTGTTGTTGTTGTTTAAATTAACCTATAACACGATATACTACTTGCTATTAAGAATTCTGGCTGACATAGGGAAGAAAAAATTGACATGCTCAAAATACTGTGTATACTAAAGAGGAAAATTTCTCTACAGGTTAAAGCATCATGGGTAGAAAAATGAGTTGCATACTTATTGTGTACAATTCCTTACAGCAAAACTTGCAATATTTGACATGATCTCAGTTTCTTAACTGTAGCTATTTTTAAGAATTAGATTCTAACTACCTGTAGATAGATGTCTGGAAATATTCACTCCCATGAGTCCCTAAATGAGAATTCTTATTAAGTTAGAGTTCAAGAAAAACATGTTTCAAAAATTGTTCCCGCATCCGTTTATTTCATTATCTACAATATATTTATCATAATACCATATATAATGAAAATGGTTCTATATAAATGCCCTCCCGTTGATCATCGATTTGCTCGAGCGGGCCCAGTAATGTCTCCATTGGAGACTTTGTTGTTACTGTGTCTGGCATATTGAATACTCTCGGTAGCTTGCCGGGCTCTCTGAGAGAGGCGGAGGAATTGAACTCAGGTTGGCCATGTTGGCTGCGTGCAAGGCAAACGCCCTACCCGCTGTGCTATCACTATGTGCATATATAATATATATACTTTTGATAGAGAAAAATTTTCATAAGCAAAATAACCAGAGTGTACTATAACACCCCTGTGTTACATAGTTTTTTTTCCTTAGGTATATGTGAGGCCATGGGTACTCTGTCTAAACTAATTCAAAAAACTTCTTTACTCTGAAACTTTCATTCAACAAACTAATAACGTACCAAATGCTCATTTTCAGAGTCAAAAAATATAAGGGTTAAGATGCATATCTTGCATGCAGTTAACCCAAGTTTGATTCCCAACACTGCATATGTTCCCCACTAATCACCGCAAGGAATGGTCATTGAGCACAGAGCAAGCAGTAAGCCCTGATTACTGGCAAGTGTGGCCTAACCCCCATATTTCCCCACAAGCCAAAATCAAATAAATCTCTTCATTTGTCCTGCTTAGTGCTATTCTTGGGCTCTCTATCTTTGGCACCCTCTGCCCTTTCTGTCGCCTTGTTTGTCTCTTTAACCTGTCTCTCTCATTTTTCTTTCTCCTATTACACAGGGACTTAGTCACAACATTTTCCTACCTTTAATTGTGGCTTTTTCCAAGATAGTACCTTTTATTTGTTCCTCATATTTCCAGTAAATGCAACTTGTGCTCAGTACCCTGCTCCGTCTGACCTTGGCGCAGGCTCCAGTAGGCGTACCCAGCCCAAACCTCACTTCACAGGCTCCAGTCTGTCTGGAACCGTAGATAATCTGACAAGAATAGCTTAATAGCCATAGGGAGCCTGCATATCAAGTGCATAGGTGCCAGAACAGCAAAAAGAGTAAATTTGCCATTAAGAGATGAGCAGCTTTTTAAAAGTGTCTAAGCCGCAGGGAACTGAAGTTTCCAGATGGCAGAAATACTGCAGATCTTTATCCTCACATTCACTCTGCAATTCTCTAAGCAATTCTGTACTTCAATTCTAAAGACAATCTTTGCCCCTTGCTCCCCAGCCTTTCTCCTACTTCCTTGAGAAGTGTAGGGCATAGTTGTTTTGTTCTACTCTAAATATAGGCACAGTACATAAAAAAATTTAAATAGTATAAATAATCAAGTACAGACAATTTAGAAAGCAGAACTACCTATCCATCTAAAATACAGTTTTGCAAAATATGCCCTGATTTTTCCAAAAGTTATAGCAGAAAACTGCAAGAGACTATACAATCCTGATCCAAAATATGTAATATCCCACAGTCTACCTAACAGTAGATCAGGCTACTGGCAACTTGAAATATTGTCAGAGCAAACAATCCCAGTGACTAGTATGTTATTTCTCTTACAGGGATTCCCTGAAACAAAGAGAAGCTTTAGATATTAGTTCATTAAAAAATTAATGAATCACAGTGAGGTACAATTACATTCTTACAAACTTTTATGATTATGTTTCAGTTATGCAATGATCAAATACCCATGCCTCTACCAGTGCCCATTCTCCACCACCAATGTTCCCAGAATCCCTCCTGCCACCCCCACACCCAGTTCCACCTCCCCATCTCTGTGGCAGGCACATTCCCTTTTACTCTCTTCCCTTTTGGGTGTTATGGTTTGCAATTCAGGTAGTAAGTGGCCATCATGTTTGGATCACAATCTACTTTCAGCATGCATCTCCCATCCTAAATGAGCTCTCCAAGCATCATTTACTTACTTGTCCTTTCTCTATCTTAGCTACCATTTCCCCCCAGCATGTGAGGCTTCCATCTAAGCCATGGAGAGATCCTCCTGGCCCTTAACTCTGTTATCCTTGGGTGTTAGTCTCACATTCTGTTACTTTATATTTCACAAATGAGTGCAGTCATTCTATGTCTGTCCCTCTCTCTCTCTCTCTCTCTCTCTCTCTCTCTGACTCATTTCTTTCAGCATAATACTCTCCATGATGATCCACTTATATGCAAATTTCATGATTTCATCTTTTCTAACAGCTGCATAGTATTCCATTGTGTAGATGTATCAAAGTTTCTTTAACCAGTCATCTGATCTCGGGCATGGGTTTGTTTTTCCAGATTTTGGCTATTGTAAATAGTGCTGCAATAAATATACAAGTGCAGATGGCATTTCTACTGTATTGTTTTGCATCTCTGGGATATATTCCCAGAAGTGGTATTACTTGGTCAAATGGAAGCTCAATTTCTAGTTTTTTGAAAAATGTCCATATTGTTTTCCAAAGAGGCTGAAGCAGCCGGCATTCCCAACAGCAGTGAATAATTGTCCCCTTCTCCCCTCATCTACACCAACACCTGCAGATGCTTTTGTTCTTTTGGATGGGTGCCAGTCTCTGTGGTATGAGATGATATCTCAATGTTATTTTGATCTGCATCTCCATGATGATTAGTGATGAAGAGCATTTTTCATGTGCCTTTTGGCCATTCAGATTTCTTCTTTGAGAAAGTTTCTGTTCATTTCATCTCCCCATTTTCCGATAGGATTGAATGTTTTTTTTCTTGTAGAGTTCAACCAGTGTCTTGTATATCTTTGATATTAGTCCTTTATCAGATGGGCATTGGGTGAATATTTTTTCCCATTGTGTAGACTGACTTTGTATCCTGGTCACTGTTTTGTAAGAGGTGCAGATGCTTCTTAGTTTAACATAGTCCCATTTGTTTATCTCTGCTTCCACTTGCTAGGTCAGTGGTGTTTTGTCTTTGAAGATACCTTTAGTTTCAACATCGTGAGGTTGTTTCCAACCTTTCCTCAATGTACCTTATGGATTCTGGTCTGATGTTGACTGATATTAAGTCTGAGGACTTTAAACCTTTTTGATCTGACTTTTGTGCATGATGTTAGGTAGAAATTAGTTCAAAAGGAGGATAAGAGGCCATAGCCATGCTACTGGACCCCGCACCATGCTATTTTATTTGGAGAGACCGGGAATGGGGGCAGGTAAGGTCCCTCTTGACCCCAAGGTTTGTAGGTTACAAAATTAATACCCAAAACTCCATAGCTTTCCTATATACAGATAATTAAAAAATAAAGAGATATTAAGAAAACAATCCCAGAGGGCAAGAGCAATAGCATAGTGGGTAGGGCGTTTGCCTTGCATGTGGCAGACATGGGTTTTATTCCCAGAATCCCATATGGTCCCCTGAGCACTGCCAGGAGTAATTCATGAGTACAAAGCCAGGAGTAACCCCTGAGCATCGCCGGGTGTTACCCAAAAAGCAAAACTAATAAAAAAATAAATAAAAGAGAGAAAATAATCCCATTCACAATAGTGCCTCAGAAAATCAAGAGAATCAGATTAACTAAAGAAATGAAGGACCTATATAAAGAAAACTACAAAACACTACTTCAAGAAATAAAGAGGACACTAGGAAATAGAGACACACTCTGTGTTCATAGATCAGGAGGATTAACATCATCAAAATGGCAATATACTCCAAAGAATTGTACATATTCAATGCAGTTCCTATAACAGCACCCATGATATTTTTCAAAGAAATAGACAAAACACTCCTGAAATTCATATGGAGTAATAAACACCCACTTATAGCCAAAGCAATCCTTGTAAAAAAGAAGATGTGTGGCATCACTGTCCCCAACCTCAAACTGTACTACAACACATTAGTAATTAAAACATCATGGTATTGGAATAGAAACAGACCCCATAGACCAAGGGAATAGAGTGAAATATTCTGACACAGCCTCTCAAGTATAAAATCACTTAATCTTTAACAAAGAAGCAAGAAATATAAAGTGGAGCAAGAAAATCCTCTTCAACGAGTGGTGCTGGGAAAACTGGACAGCTACCTGCTAAAGAATGAACTCAGACCTCTGTCTAACTGCAGGCACAAAAGTCAGATCATTGTATAATTGAAACCCAAACACAAAATCTCTAAGTCTACAACTGTACCTCATGGTGTCTCACTAATAAAAAAAAAGTCAGATCAAAGTGGATTAAAGACCTCAATATCAAACCTGAATCCATAAGGTACATGGAGGAAAATGTAGGCAGAACCCTCCATCAAATTGAAGCTAAAGGCATCTTCAAGGATGAAGCACCACTGGCAAGCAAGTGGAAACAAATTTAAACAAATGGGACTGCATTAAACTGAGAGCAAAAGAAACAGTGGCCAAAATACAGAGACAGCACACGGAATGGGAAAAAAAAATTTACACAGTACCCATCAGAGAGGGGCTTAATATCCAGGATATACAAGACACTTGTAGAACTTTACAAGATAAAATCCTCCAACCGCATCAAAAATGGGGAGAAGCAATGAACAGAAACTTCCTCAAAAAGAAATTCAAATGGTCAAAAGAAGTGCTCTACATTGCTAATCATCAGGGAGATGAAAATCAAAACAACAATGGGAAATCATCTTAAACCACAGAAACTGGCACACATTGATAAGAACAAGAACCACAGTGCTGGTGACGATGCAGGGAGAAAGGGACCCTCATTCATTGTTAGTGGCAATGCCAATTGGTAGAGCCTTTGGGGAAATATGAACATTCCTCTAAAAACTGGAAATTGAACTCCCATATGTCCTAGCAATATCGCTTCTGGGAATATATTCTGTGGAAGAAAAACAAAACACAGTAGAAATGACATCTGCACTTGTATGTTTATTGCAACAGTGTTCACAATAGCCAGAATCTGGAAAAAAACAAAACAAAAAAACGAGTGCCCGAGAACAGATAACTGGTTAAAGAAACTTTGGTATATCTACACAATGATATACTATGTAGCTGTGAGAAGAGATGAAATCATGAAGTTTTCATATAAGTGGATCAACTTGGAGAGTATCATGCTAAGTGAAATTAGTCAGAAAGAGAGAGACAGAGATAGAATGGCTGCACTCATTTGAAGAATATAAATATAAAGTAGTGTTATATGAGACTAACACCTAGGACAGTAGAGATAAGGGTCAGGACAATCGGGCTTGGAAACTGGCCTCACATGCTGGGGGGAAAGGAAGCTTGGATAAAGAAGGGACCATTAAGTAAGTGATGGCTTAAGGGATCACTCGGGATGGGCGATGTGTGCTGAAAGTAGACTAAGGACCAAACATGATGACCTCTTAGTATCTATATTGCAAATCATAATTTGAGAGTAAGTCCAAAATTAGGGAGTAAGAAGGAATGTTCCTGCACAAAGGCAGGGATGGGATGGGGTGGGGTAGCAGGAGAGGGACACTGGGAACAATGGTGGTAGAAAATGTGTACAAGTGGAGGGATGGGTGCAGAATCATTGTATGACGAAAATGAAATCATGAAAGTTTGTAACTGTATCTCATGGTGAGCCAATAAAAAAGATTAATAATGACTTTTAAAAAATAAACACATTATAAAACCTTTATTTATCTCCTTTTAATTTTTATATTTTTCCTAAAATAATGAATCTATGCCTTAGTTTAATAGAAATTCTTGGAGAATACTTGTTGTGGGAATATTCCTTTGGTCGGGGATGCTGAGATAAAAGACGCGAGAGAAATGGGATTTTCTGGAGAGGCTCCTTGCTCTCTCTGGCTAGAAGCATGGAGGAGCGTCCCTCGGCCCTTTTTATTTACCATCCTACATACACACATTTAATGTACTTAGTACATAGAAATCATTAACGGGGAAAGGGGGTTTACAGGAGGAACAATAGAATACTAAGGATATTTTGTCCTCTTAAATCTGTAGTA